TTAGCATGCTTCCAATCTGAAGGTACCGTACCCACAGATAACGATTTCTGGAATATTAAAGTTCTTCACTTTATAGGGGCTGTGAATTGCGGACACACATTAATAAAGTCTCCTAAACAGGAATTCTCCATGTAGGTATGATGGGTTTTATAGATAGTACTCACAGAAAGTCTTGAGTCAGTTGCTTAATTCAGTAATAATTAGTAGTAGTTTATTTATATAGCGCCCTTCTCAGACAAAGGTCACAGAGCGCTGAACAACAATCCAATACAAAATGGAACAAAACTAACAAAACACAGACATTACCAATAAAAATAAAAACAAACAGGAACTACTCAGCACCGATTAAAAGCCTGTTTAAAAAGAAATGTTTTCAGTTGTTTTTAAAAGAATCAACAGACTCAGACCATAAGGCAGGCTGTTCCACAGTCTTGGTGCCACAGACTGAAAAGCACAATCCCCATGGTTTTTTAGCTGAGTACGTGGGACAACTAAGAAGCCCTGTTGTCCAGACCTAAGAGCCCGATAAGCTGTATAATGATTGAGCAAACAGGTAAGGTGTTCAGGAGCTTGTCCATGTCAGGCTCTGTAAGTAAGTACTAAAATTTTAAAGTGAATTCTATAAAACTCTGGGAGCCAGTGCAGTGTGTGCAGAATGGGAGTGATATGATCACTCTCATTGATCACTCTCTAGCGGCTGCATTCTGCACTGACTGGAGACGTGAGAGAGGGGACTTACTCAGACCTGTATAAAGAGCATTAACAGTAATCAAGTTGTGAGGAAATAAAAGAATGTACAAGCATCTCCAATTCTAATAATGTTGCAAATTTATTGGTTTCATAACATAAGTTCTTTGACAATCAATGTTTAACCTGCCTGCACATATCTTCCACCAGACATTTTCTTTTTATTAACTGTTAAATTTATTTTTGACTGATTCAGTTCTAGTCTTACCATTTTGCTAATAATTGCAATTATAGTCATGGACTCCCAAAGGGATACTATACATAAATATGTGTATTTTATGTTATTGCAAAGGTAACTAATTAAAATGCACCCAATGATGCTTGTCAGTGAACTTTTTAACCCAGAACAGCTCATTTAGAACTATAATTTGGATTTCAATGTATTAGTACTTGAAATGAATGATCTACTTTATTAATTTCTAATGTAATATGTATTTTTTAAACAAATGAATGAAGTAATGATTTTTGTTATAAAACCAGTACATCTGCAATATTTTTACTGAATTAAGCAAACGTCACAAGAATTTCTGTGAGCACTGTATGTCATAGTACTTTAGTTGATGGGGTCATGGGTTTGATGCGAGTAGGTGAACTGGTACCCAAAGTGTGTGACTGTGTACATGACTGGGTGTCCCCCTGTCTTCAGGAATTACTTTAAAAAAGGGATTTGCAGTAAGACATAGGAAGTGTTAATCATCTCACCCTGAAATGAAGGGTGGTCCTTCTCCCTTCCCGACTGCTTCAGAAAGAGACGCATAACAGCAGCACTTCAGCTTCAGTGGGTTTCTTAACAAGCTCACTAGACTCATGATCTCAGGTGAAACGCCACTCTAGTGAAGAGACAGCTGGCGGTGTCTGCGCTTTATCAGCTGATGCTGGGAAAGTGTGAGCTGGAAAATTCAACAGCAATTATAAAAAAGTTCAGAAGGAGTTCAGAAGGAGACGGTCAGCGCCCGGCTTCTCGTTTTGCCATCAGCTCCAGATAACCTCACTTTTCAGGTGAGAACTCCATTCTTTTCTGATTTTCTCAAGTATATATAACTCCAACATCTTAATTCAAATGAATAAGAGGCACAAATGCATGAACACATATGTGTGCTGGTGGAATTACGTGAAAAAACTGTATAAAGAAATCAGAATCAGAAAACTTTTTTTATCCCGAGAGAAATTGTTTGTGAGACTGTACATCACGCAACCACACAAGAAGACAGAAATAGTCCACAGGAAGATCCTTGTCTGGCTGCTGGGGCTGTGTCTGTGTGGTCATGCACACAGCCCCCTTGTGGAAATGGAATGGTGTACATACCCTCTTCTCCTTCTCAGGCCGCATCAATCTCCAGGTACACTATGCTATATCTGTACTTAAAACAAAAAACAAGTATGACACTCCAAAGCACCATGTCTGAGAGAAGATAAGCAGAATGTTCCAGGAGGAGGTGATGATGATGGGATGAGAAAAAAGGGGGCGACGGTCTCGCTTCAAGGGCCGATGCAGGGAGGTCAGGGAAGTTCATTCTCACCCTCCAAGGGCAACAAAAACAGAGTGACAGTGAGTCACAGCTCAATAAAACATAAAAGGGGCCCATCTCTGCAGGGCTGCCAGAGAGTGTAGCCACAAGATTGGAAACCGAATAAGCACCTACATGCTCTTTAGACCGGGTTAGCTCTGTAACAGCGACACCTGCTGGAACGTTAAAGTAATGCACTAGTTCTATTACATTCTCACACTAACATGTTAAAATCTGAACCTCCTTTAATCTTATAGAAAATATTTTCTAAGATGCACCGTTGACATACCTCCCCATAGCTTGGTTTCAGGAGTGGATGGTTTCAGTGCATGTCCTGTCGAGGGTAGTATTGATCCACAAATAATAATTTATTCCCAGATAATTCTCAAACTGTGGGGTGTGAAATGATTTTCTGAATATTGTAAAATAAAGTTAATATATATTTATTTAGTCGCCAACTCCCTCACTTGGCAAATTTCATGGTAGCAATCTGGGCACTGGATGGCAATATTTATTGTGTAATATTATGCATTTAACTCAGCGAAATTTATCATGGTGGAATTTAATCAGGTTTCTGAGCCAGAGTGGTGGCAGATGAAAGAACAAGCGCAGGTGTGGTGAACCTGATTATACAGAGACAAGTTGGTCTTATAATAAGAATTTTTTGGAATGCTGGGGACAGGGCGTACGGTAGGCTTGGATATTATTACAGTAATATTTTCAGTATACTGCAGTATTTTCTTTCAGCAAAATTTATCGTGGGGCATTAACAGTAAGCATTAACTTGGCAAGATTTATCATGGGGACCCACCCATGCCAAGATTCCATAATATTGTGCCAACAGTATTCAGTTGGTAATTTACAAAGACTTACAAAAGATACAAAATGTCCAGATTCTGTCTTGGTCATTCCTTCCAAATTTTTCAATAAACTTTTTAAATGTTTTTATTATTTTCACATTTCACACTACATAACAGCAACAATATTGTACGACAGTATGACCATACAAAACACGTGCAGGAGCCCGGAGCAGAGTAAGGGGCTGTGTACATTGGGCGATGGTGGTGCAGGAGGTAGTGCTACCGTTCGGCAACCGGAGGGTTGCCGGTTCGAGTCCCGGGTCCTTCTATCCCCATCGAAGTGTCCTTGAACAAGACACTGAACCCCAAATTGCTCCCGGTGAGCTGGTTGGCACCTTGCATGGCAGCCTCCGCCACTGGTGTGTGAATGTGTGGTGTGAATGGGTGAATGTGAGGCGTACATTGTAAAGCACTTTGGTAAAAAGCGCTATATAAATCCAGTCCATTTATCATTATCACATTGTCCACTCTTGCCCAGTATCCTGCTTGCCAACATCCATTGGTGAATACTGTAAGTTGGACAAACTCAGGGCAAGGATCACATTCTAATGGGACATCAGTGACTGCAACATCCTTTGTTTTACAGAAACATGGATAACCCCCAAGTACCGGACAAGGTGGTCTCTCAGCTGGAGTCTTTAACTGTGTATTGACACATGGACAGAAATTACAATTTGTGATTGACAGAATGGAAGAAGCCAGTAAATCTAGGGGTGTGGAGTCTGTTTTATGACAAACAATAGATGGTGTGTTTATCTGCCTCATGAGTTCACTTGTGCCATTGTCACCACGATTTACATCCCTCTGGACTCATGGATGCCGTCATTATGGTGACTGGTGATTTTAACAGGGAAAACCCCAAACATGCATCAGCATGTTACAAGCCCAACTAGGGGTACAAATATGGTAGATCGTTGTTACTCATTGTCTGTTCTGTAAATCTGTTTTGCTCCCACCATTTATAAGATGAGACCATAACTCCATTCTCCTTACTCTTCTGTATAAACAATGTTTGGTCTGGAAAGCACTGAGATGCTGGGAGATGTTTAGCTCAAGCAGTGATGACGTCAGCGAGTTTAAGGACATGGTGTTAATTTTTATTAGTGTGCTGGTTTATTCAACTGGTCACCATCAGCAAAGGCTGTGATCTGATCCTGCTGCTGTACTCCTTGTACTGGCATGGCTGTGTGGACAGCTCAAATAAAATCTGAAGGTGACAGAGTTGTGATTGGCCTGATTTCCTAAAAGAAAGAGAAGGCCTACGTGGGCAAGGTGGATAGTCTGATGTAATACTACCTGTAAGACCAAGGAGATGCTGGTGGACTTTAGGCGTAAGCAGTCCAGTGCATGCATCCCTATCAATAAAGGGATCCCAGAAGGGGAACAGCAATATATATCCCAGAGTCTGCATCTCTGATGACCTTACCTGGTCCAATCATATACTGACTCTGATATCTAAAGCCAGGCATCAGCTGTACCATCTGAAGCAGCTGAAAAGTTCAAGCTTTCACCAGCCTTCTATTCTGGAGTATTGGAGAGCATCCTCACCGCAGGAATTAAAGCCTGGTTTGATAATTGCTCTGGTGGGGATGGTACTTTCCACCCACAAGGCTGATCTGCCCTCCCTGCAGGATATGTACCTCAGCATAATCTGATATTGCTGTGTAGCTGTCGTTCCTACTATATCTACTGTTGCGCCAGGACCATCATTGCAACTGTCCAGTCACATTGTTGTGATGCCACAGCTTTGCGACTCAGGGGGAAAAGACAGGTAAACAAGTGTGCCAAGTGTGGGGCATTATAAGCGACTGTGGGCTTTTTTTTTCTGTAGTCGCATATAATATCACTGAGTTGAGGGTTGTGTTTTTTTGGGCTTGTTCTTATTTTGAGGTCATGGTTTTAGGGCTTTTTAGCTAATCTTAATTTTTATAAAATAGCAGATTTTCCATTTGAAGAAATTCAAATGTTAATGACAATTATAATACAGAATACAGAACAATCATCGAACAAATGATTGACATTAGACAGCTGACACAAGCATATGTACTGTACATAAATAATAAAATTCTTTATAATAGTCTTCATTTATATAACACTTTCATACATGAGATGCAGCTCAAAGTGCTCCACATATGAGATTAAAATAAAACCAAAGACAGAGAAGCAGCTAACGTACATGTCAATGAAATTATAGAAAGATGGAATAAATTTAAAGTGAGAGTAAATGAAAGCTAAATAAATAAACAATAAACAAGAATAACATACAATAAAATATAAAAGAATGAAAAGGTTAAAATTCTAATAGCATAAGCTAGTAAAAATTGGAAATAATATATGTTGTGGATATAGCAACAAAACTGTGAGATAAAAAAAAAGGAATAACACAGGTAGTACAAGAACTCAAGCAAATAATAGGCCTACCACAATGGTATAAGTGAATAGGAAAATAAAATGAAATAAAACAGTATAAACTCATTAAAATGCCAATCCAAAAAGATGTGTTTTCAATAGCTTTTTAAATCTGACAAGTAATCCAGCTAAGCAAGAAATCCTGCTTTGTGATCCAGGTCCCTTGTCAGAGATTGGTTTATCAATGAAAACCCATTGCTTGGTTTGGTATTTAAAGCTGGGTACTGTACATAGCAAGCCAATGGCAAAAAACTAGAGCTAACCAAGGCTGACCAGTTTGCTCACACTGATTGTGAAAGTTTGCACTGGAACACGCTAGCATGACTAGAGGTGACAGTTCACATACAGCCAAATCATAGAACTATGTTTCACCAACTAGCTTCGACTGATATGTTTCAGGCAGCTATAATGTTTTTGAATGATGTTCTATTATCATTACAGTTGACCTACTACCAAACAGATTCAGTGTCATCAAGGATACAAATTGTAATTTCAAGTTGAAATCATCAAAACATCTCTAGGCATATTAAAAAAACTGAATCTGCTATATTGTAAGCAGTTGGATGAAATTTAACCCTGCCACTGTTTTTACTGATGAGGTCCAAGTGAACAGACTAAACAGCGAGAATTTTCTGATTATCAGAGAGTCAGATTTATACTGCTTTTGCCCCTAGATGGCACTGTCTACAAATAAAAGGAACATTTTAGCCTTTTACCAAACCACAACCCCTAGAACAGGGGTGCCCAACTCCAGTCCTGGGGGGCCGGAGCCCTGCACATTTTTGGGTTTCCCCTCATTTAACACACCTGATTCAACTGCTTGTGCTAATTACCACACAGCTCTTGAGCTGAATTGTTTATGGTGGAACAGGGAAAGAACTAAGCTACACAGGGCTGCGGCCCCCAGGGCTGGAGTTTGACACCCCTGCCCTAGAAAGAGAATTTTTTTTTGTTATTAACAATGATGCACAACAAATGAATATAGTTTTTTATTGTAGTTTTCAAAACTAATTAAAATAAAGTAATTAAAACACAATGTGTGCTTAAGTACTGCTAAAAAAATTGAGTCAGACAATCAAATGGTCCATGAATGAGCTGCTTGAATGGGTTTTTATTGCTCTATCAGCCATGCGAGTCCTGCTGCTGATGTCATGCGGAACAAGATGGCCGCCCTGGAGCTGAAACTGAGAGACACCTGCTGGCTCTTCTAATGCTATTTCTG